CCCCTCACACTAGGCCGTGCCAGCCAGGCCAGGGAGGAGAACCCTGCTATCGCGGGATCGATCTTAGCCAACCATACCGACAGGGCGGCGTCGGCAACATAGCCGGCGCCAAAGGACGAAGAAGACTGGAAGTCATTCAGGAATACCCACATGTAAGCACACGCGTGCACAACCGCCAGGTAGATACCTCGTGGCCTCATGCCAGCAGAGTCATGTACGTACCGATTAGGAGAAAGGAAGGCTTTGGCATAAGAAGGCCAGGAAACCCAGCCTGGATGGAAAGGCTTGAAAGGCTTCAACAAGGCCTTTGAGACCCAAGTAGTTTATTAGCTGAATTGAACTACTGTTCCAAGTCCTGAACACAGCCCTGAACACAGCCCTGAACACAGCCCTTGTCACACGAACCCTGTTGTGGACTAAAGCTTGATTCCAGTCCTCGTCCCATTTGGGCGCGGGCGCAGGCGCAGGAGAAGTCGCCCATGAGTATGACAGCAAGGGGGACTAGGTAGATAAGTTGCCCGTGTCAGCAAGCAGAATCTTGGACGCCTGACAGCGAGGTTTGACGATAGCGTTCAATAGGCACATGGTACAATGGCGTTTCGGCAGTTGGAATGGAAATCTGGGTTGGACTTTGGAACAGCAAGGACGGCTTGGACAACGACATTTGATGGCTTCACGATACATGTAGTGAAAGGTAGAATTGAAATTGATTGGAAGACAACTGAACTCCATGCTTCTTGCTCATGCTGTGCTATGCTGTGCTTGATCGGGACTTCCCTCCTCCTTATGTCTCCTCGTACAATCATAAAATGAACACTCAACTCCTTCTTCGTGTGCATGTGCGTGTGGATATCATAATCGTAATCTGCCAAAAGCCAAAAAAAAGAACGTATTATTAAAACAGGAGTAAAGAGAAGAAAACGCATCGGCTGGCATTCCTTGCGAGAAGCCATACCGATGTCGGTACGTGGGAAGCAACCGCTGGGCTCTAAAGGCCGTGACCTATAACAACATTAGCACCACATCAAGCCCCGGAAAAAGAACAGGAATACTCACGACCCAGTTGCTTCCCCCTCTTTGAAACCTCCTTAGCATGATACTGCTTGATCTTGGCCCGCCTCGCCTCCTCCTGCGCCTCCAGCTCCAAAGCCCGAACATGTTCTCTCGCCTGCCTGACACTTTCCCGCGCAGCCATCAGCGCACGATCCGCATCCCGCTCGGCAGACTCGGCCATCATCACGCGCTCGCGAGCTTGCATGATGGAGGGGTCGACTTGGTGGCTGGAGGAGACGCCGTTGCCGAAGGTGCGGGAGAGAAGGCTGGGCTTGTGGCCGGAGGAGTCCCGGCTTGTGGACCGGTGCCGGTCCATCGTTGAGGCGGAGGAGTTGGAGTAGGTTGGTGAGCCAGGGGAGGGGGAGCGGTTGTGTCGAGAACCGCCGAAGAGGGAGTGTCGCTTGGGGGCAGGTTCGTGGTGGACGGGAGCTGGGGCGGGCTCGGGCTCGGCGTGGCGGGAGAAGAGAGGCATGGTGGTGGTCGTTTGTGTGTGGTTGTTGATGGAAGAGTTGGTTTACAGAGTGGTTGAGGTGAGGTTATTCAAGGGCTGCTTTGGCTGGCTTGTATGGGTTGTTTGCTGGTTATCGATGGAGATGCAGATTTTCGAGATGGAAAAACACCAGCAGTTGCGATGGTATTTCTATTCCTCCGAAAAGGCCTTCATCATCGTTTGTGCACCGGATGAAACCTGCTTTTGGGACATGATGTTTGACATTGACAACGTTGTTGACGACGATCGATAAGGTAACATGACGTCAAATCAGGTTCGTGAAGGACGGTGACAGGAGCCTTTGAATGGCCTGAAGCAACCGCGCTCCAATGAGGATGCCCAGAATGACGATGACGGCGGGGCGTAGTAACAGCCCAGCATGACCCTGAAGGTTGTGAGGACAGGGACCCTGAAGAGTAACAAACAATTGATGGACCATGGCTGATGCAGGGTTTCGGGCCTAGACCACGATCGCGGAGAATGCCATCATCGGGCCTTGGGGGTCGGCGTGAAATGCTTTTCTCGGACAAGCTTCGTGCCAAGTTTCCTTGTTTTCAGCCACGGGAGGACGTCCATTCTCATTGCGCAACGTCGCTGGTTAAGCATCGCCAAGTCTGTGCCGCGACGATGAGGTCAATTGTGGCTCGGTGGGCTTGGCTTTAATGCGTCCTTTGGATCGTGAGCTGAGATGACCTCCGGCATATGAAATTGACCAGCTGGTCATGTTGGAGTCGTCCTGTCCATCGTCAACTCCGAATGTTTTCGAAGAAGTCCACCAGCCTCAAGGTGACGGCGACATTACTGATGAAATTGAAGAACACTCAATCGCAGAAGTGTAAGGTGGTTGAATACGAATACGTTTCTATGGTTGTCATGCATAAAGTCGTTGCGCTGATCACTTCCTGGATCTCGCGATGATGTCTTGGAAAGCTTCAAAACATTCGAGAAAACAAAAACATGGAAATAAGGTTGCCAAGAGAAACCACAGTGGATCATAACGTCGGCGCTAAGATTTACGGTGGAGATAGAATGGAGTTAGTGAAAGACAACGCGGGGGATCACGTGAACGGACCTTTGCCTTGTGGGCCCCACCAAAGGTTGGCCAAAAGCAAAAGAGGTCCGTGCATGCTGGCCGCGGTCTTGGAGCTCCACTGAAGCAAGAGGCGCGTCGGGACTTTTGCAGCAATTGAATGGTTCCAGTGGAAAGAACAAGCATTCATTTGGCAAACAACTAACTGATTTCAATCCTCCACCAAACATCATCATCAACAACCATTCTGCACCCCCACCACCAAGTTGACGACAGCAAAGTCTTGGAACTGCCATCACATACCGCAGATACAGTTAACATTCTTACAACCAGAACAATTAGCGAACAGATCTTTGCCCAGCAACAGCTGCTTCACCCCAAATCACCACCACATCACCAACCATGACCTCCCGCTCGAGGTCCCGGTCGCCTGGCCACTTCGACGTTGAGCGCTCCCGATCTCGCTCCCGTTCCAGATCTCCTCGCCGCGACCGTTCTCCCACACCTCGTTCCGTCCGCGACTACTCTCGCGAACCCTCACCCGTCCTCGGAGACGCTTCGCTCGACCGTGAGCGAGGCCGCTCGCCACCCCGCAGGAATGGTGGTAGTCGTCGCAGTCCCAGCCCGGCACCTGGTCGCGCCAGGAGCTACAGCCGTAGTCGCTCGAGATCCAGAAGCCCGACCCGCAGCCCGAGCCCAGCTCAACCCGTTAGAAGTACCAAGATTGTGGTTGAGCGTTTGACAAAAAACATCAACGAGAACCACCTCCGTGAGATCTTTGGCCAGTTTGGAGAGATTGAGGACTTGGATCTGCCCTTGAACAGGACATGTAAGCCCTCTTAGTCTTTGCCTCTGACCCTCTGCTATGGCAACTGCTAACCTGGTCGTACGTCTAGCCCGCACAAACCGCGGCACAGCCTACATTCTCTACGTCCACGATGCCGATGCCGAAGCCGCCATTGCCCACATGCACGAAGCCCAGCTGGACGGCGCCGTCATCAACGTCTCCATTGTCCTTCCCCGCCGCAAATTCTCTCCTTCTCCACCTACCGCCCGTAGGGGCGCCAACTACGATCCCCGTCAGCCCCCGCCAGGACCTAGAGGAGGAGGCCGCGGCGGCGGACGCAACAGATCCCCCGGACCTCGTGGTGGTGGACGTAACGCACATCGTTCCGATACCTATCGACCTCGCTCAGTCTCACGATCGCGATCCCGCTCGCGCTCCCCTGTGGCAGCGGGCGGAGGAACCAGGAGGTACAGGTCCAGGTCACGCTCTTGGTCTTCCCGAAGCCGTTCTCCTAGCCCGAGGGCCGGACGTGGTGGAAGAGGAGGAGGCGGCAGAGGAGGAGGAAGGAATGATGTGGATAACGACAGAGCACGCAGGAGTCCTAGCCGCGCTAGTTACGACAGCTATGACCGCAGGAGCAGGAGCCGGAGCCGCAGCCGTGATTGGGACAGACGTTAGGTACATCCGTCGCGCAGGGGTTAGATTGCCCGGCCAGCCTGAGGAAGAAACCACGCGATCCGTGGGTCAGGGTAGAAGCGGGAAAGTAATCGGTTAATGTGAGCATTAGGCGTTGGGGGAGGCATGGAAAAGTCGACGAGACAAAATTGGACAACAACAGGTCCGATGTGAGTGTCATTCCCTTTTGGGAGGAGTATTGTACCAACAAAACAACAGGGAAAAGGGGGTTTACTTGTGTTAGCTTACATCGATTTTGTACAGGACGCCTGACGAACATCTCGCGATCCGAATCGAACCCCCAAAGATAGCTACCATCTGGACGATGGTTGTTGTTGGTCCCAGAAACACATGAATACGAAGAATAAGATAGCATCCGAGATTCCTACATCGTTGCTCGCCGGGTTCGTTTCTATACTTGGTGGTATGTGGAAGAGTTTTCATAAGCCATCTTACAAAGTATCAATTCTGGTCTACCCTCTCCGCCTGCTGTCATGCCTAGCCACACTCCGGTGTTATTCCTTTTGCTCGGACCAACCCGATGTTCCATCTCGTACTTCATGTACCATGTTGAAAGCCTGTACCGCCAAGTACATCGCCCAACCAGTTTTGCCTTTCTTGTTGGATGCATGTCATCGCCAACTGACCAATGACATCTGCTGACCGAGCTCCGGATAGTCGTTATACACAACGGCGATTCGTGTTCCCTCGCTACCTAAGAACACGCAACCTCAACCCCATTGATCAAAATTCGAGATGACTCTTCCTACCTACTCTTGACGATCTACACTACTACATCACGAACATCCCATCTCAGAGCCTCATCATCTGCGATTCGATTACAAAGCTACCATGTTTACGTGATGGTTCAACCCCTCCAATAACCACAAAAAAACAAGGCCCGATTACGTACCTTACAAACCCACCGATGACCAAACGAACCATGGATTTCCCAATCCAATGTCGAAATCCCTGGGAACGACGTTCGGTCAGCCCTAAACGTTGGCCTGAGGCTGCGCCATCCATCATGTGCCGCACGTATTTGTCTGGGGAAATACCTATCCCGGTTTCTCCTTCCGCTCTGTCTCGGATACAAGCGATTGCGCCACACAGTATGACTAGGAAACCGAGCCGGTACTTGGAGGCTCATGGACAAGGACAACACGGCACCACGGGGTCGGGTCGGCGCTGTTAGTTCCAATAGCTTGGTTCTGGTCCGAGTATTATTCTCAAAGGTGCTCAACACAACATGCTCTTCCTGCCAAACCCCATGAGCACCACATCAACGGGTCCGATTATATCGTCCGCTCAGGCACAAGTGTGCGTGGCGACGAAGTCACTTCTACTACAAGTGACTCCTCATGATTTAGGTGGCCAGGTGGCCGACTGATCTCTTCCACTGGACTGGGTCCTGTTCTTTGGATCTTGCTTACTGGGTACTTCCACAATGGCATCTCTCTTTCCACATGCCTGTACACCCGAGTTTCTCCCTGCACCCTCGCTCGTTGTTCCTGCACGCAACAGAGCACATGACGAACATCGGCTGTGCGCAATCCTAAGGCAGCACCCATACTGGTAGGCGAGAGTTCTCACCGCCCTGCTCTACCTACCCGCGCCGCAAAACCCAATTTAGGTCCGGGGCTCAGATCTTCCAACGCGTTGTGCCTTGTTGTCCTTTCCCATATAGATTTTGTACCTACCTATTCTCCTACCTCGTCGGATTCGTCGCTTGGTCGCTCCCTGCCTGCCATCAGGGACAAACCCCCAACTGCCACAAGGCAACTCAGGGTCTCAAACCGCAAACGCCCCCACAAGGAGTAGATACGCACCTACCGGACTCCCCGACCGACACGGTTCCTGCCTTGGCCTGTCGGTTGCCTACTACCGTGCACGGGAACGAGGGGACGAGGGACCATGCCTGGTACCTGTCTGTCAACATGGCTTCGCGAGGAAATGATGGAATGGTCTCTGGTCTCTGGTCTCTGGTCTCGTGGCCTGAGGAGTCATGGGTCAAATCACGATACACGGCTGTTTTTGGCCGACAACTACCCGACTCGAGAACTCGACAATGACTGAAGAGTCACTTCCCAGAACTCGTCTTCATAATCCCGTACTGGTTCACCGACCATACTGACCGAAAGGTCCACCTATGAGGCGGCAGCTTCTTTTACTTTTTCTTTCAAGACGGGCAGTGCAGTGCTCCTGTTGGTGCTCTGTTTGATGCTCCTGTTGGTGCTCTTGTTGGTCCTCTTGTTGGTGTTCTTGTTGATGCTCTTGTGGGTCCTCTTGTTGGCGCTTTTGTTGGTACTCTTCTCGGTGCTCTCGTTGGTGCCTTGGTCCAGTCTCTCGGAGACGTTCGGACTCCGAACACGTTCAATGTTGCCGTGGGGGCTACCTACGAGAGAGAGCTTACCTTAGTGTAGTTTTGCGCAAGAGCGTTCGTTCATTGTTGAGTTCACCCACTCACTCACCGCCGGGACTCTCAGCGTTTAGCTAAGCTACGCTGCTGCTGGTTTCTTTGTTGATGATGGATGGCCTAATAACGTACATGGTGATGTCCATCGTATAGTATAAATACCAAGATTGCCTCGTTGCCCGAGTTTGGTCGTGGTCGTGGTGTTTGTTGTAGATAATACCTTACCCTCGATTCGACTCAAGACCATTGCCCCCAGTTTGGTTTGCTCCCTTTGAGTTTAAGAGGCGGTAAATTCTAAGGTCTTCGATTAGGTTTGTCCTCGTCACGAAACAATTCACTTCACTTTGACTCCCGCCTGAACCGAAGCTTCTTTCTCAGCCTTCCCAGACAACAAGATGATATTCACCGACCTCATCCTCTTCACCTTCCCCTTTCCCTTCCCCTTGACCAGGGAGAACAACGAGGGCGAACCACCCTGCTCCTTCTCAGAGTTACTGCCCTATGCCGGTCCCGTTCCCTTAAACACGGTCCCCAATCCTCCCCGGCCGCCTACACCTGGACCGACGCCCAGACCGGGACCGTTGGCGCCGAGACCGGATGTGCCGAGTCCACCTCCTACTCCGAGGAAGTGATACTACCTAACTCTGTATGGTAAGTACCTACCCTGTCCTTCTTCTAGAGTTATCTTACCATTTCAAACAACAATGTGGACCATTCGTTGACCAGTTTGAGCAGGGCATAGCATTACGCACAAAACACGGCTTGGGAGAGCTGATCGGGCTGTTATGAGTGCCGTGGAGTCAAAAGCTGCAATAGACTTGCATTGGTTCAGTGAAGAGAACGTCATCTAGTGCAAAATGGATGCTTCTCGGGGAATGTACGTGGGAGGCCTTGGCGCTATGGAAGTTGGAGGAAAACAGTTATGGATGAGATATGTCGACGGGACGATGAAAGAGGTACTTTGTAGTACGGAATAGGACTCAATAACTTTATAGGGCTAAGGCATCTGCAAAGTTCCTACAGATTGGAACCCCATTGGACTAGTGTTAGACCGGGTCGCGGCAAACTTTTTGCTGTGTGACACTGTGAAACGTGAGATGAATGATGAGTAAACGCGGTACGTACAGCTATTACAAGGTTAGTATTACACATACTCGGTGATCCAGTTCGCCTCCATTCTTCACTTGCAGTTACAGAGTTAAAAGACACCACCAACCACACCTCTAGATTACGTAACGTGCCAAATTGCACGTTTACAGTCACAGACCCATCAAAGGAATCTCCAGGCTCCAAATCATGTGTAACAACCCGCGCTTATCACCTCTAGACTGGGTTCGTAGAACCTGAAGTAAGCGGTGAGAAGTACTTCGTGGCGGCGAGAAGTACTTCGTGGCGGCGCTTACTCAATGCCCTAACTGCCCCAGCAGCCCTAGCAGCCCTACAGCCCTACTGGACGACATAACCCGGAGTGGCTGACACTTTTCGGACCGAGAGCCAATATACCGGGACGGCCCCCCAATGAAACGGCGTCATTTTAAATGTTTCGGTGTCGTAAAAGGGCTAGTGGTAGTGGGGGGAGTGTGTCTTTCATATCCCGCTCCCGTCCCCATATGTCTCGGTGTTGACCACCGGACGATACTAAGACCGTAAGACGTGGAAAAACTAGAACGATGAAGGAAAAGGGGACAAAAAAGTTACCCTACCAGGGAGTTGAACCCTGCGCTGCGGAAGTTTTGAGACTGAGAATCCGCCATGTTAACCGATACACCAGTAAGGTCTTTTTGCAGCTCTTGTTGGAGATTGGGCTGAAAATTCAGGTTTATGATGGGCTGTTTGCGTCTGTCCCCTAGGGAAGGGGCGGGCTTGCTTGTTATGTTGGGCTGTTTGGCAAGGGAAGGGGCAGGACGTGAAAGGAAGCAGGAACAAACGGGTGGATACATCGGACCTGGGAGGAATGAGATGAAGGATAGCACTGCTGCATTATGATATTTACGACATAAAAGACTAAACCTGGAACCAACATCTGTTTCTTTGAGATTTCAATGGTGGGTATCTCGAGCCCAAAGACAACTCAGAGACTGAAGATGACATGGGTTTGTCTCCAGCAATAGAAGTTGGACACTCGTTAATTGTTAGACATCGGGCGGCCCAAAAGACATTCGATGATGTATTTCATATTCCTGGAGTCTCAGCAAATGATCTCTCCCCAGTACGACATCTCAGAGGTGTTTCTAGTGGTTTTCAGCTCTTTGGGAAGTTGACGCTGGTCCTCAGTTCGGGGACCTTGATGGTTTCGAACTTCGATGGCGGATGCCCTGACAGCTGCAGGGCGCACTGACACTGCCAGCACATGCCCGACAGAATGCCTGCAGCCCGACAAGGGCCGCAGTGAAGTCCCTGAAAGAAAAGTCTTGGCTTACCGAATGGGCTCCACATGTGTAAGCAAGGGCCTCCTTATTGACCAATCACTGACACCGGTAAGCAGCGATAAGCTGATAAGAGACCGAACAGACAAAGTCAAGGGGAGAAAAAAAGAATTTTGGTGGAGCTCTTTTGTTTCGCTGTTGCCGCCCAAAGAGGTCCTCGCAAAAAAAGACACCGACAGAGCGCTGTGCCCCAGAGTCCACCGCTCCCCAGGGACCCGCCACCGCCTTCCCCTTCTTGCCGTGTCCCAGTCAGACCGGGCAGTCCACCCGCAGTCCGACTCCAGCAAAGCGGAAGCAGACACTGCGTCGAGTGCTGTGCAGTCTTTGCATTCCATTTTTCCCTTTCTTCCCTTTCCCTTCCTCTTCCCTTTTTTTGCTTCACCTCCAAACCACACACCATCCACCACCACCCGATCTGTCTGCGTTTGCGACAGCATCAACCAAGGCTTCCCTTTCTTCCCCTTCCGCCTTGTGTCGCTACGGGCATTTCTCGCCCTAGGTCCTCTATCAGAGACCGTCTCTTTTTGACACTCCCAAATCTCCCCTCTTTATATACCAGAAAACCCAGCAAAAAAAGACACCATGACTGTCCCTATCATGGTCGCTGATGTTGGCGCCGCGCCGCCCGTCAGCCAGGCCGATGTGTCCTCCATCCTCGACACTGTCTTCACCGCAAAGACGTCGCAAGCCTCCATCGACGCCGCCTACGGTCTCTGCGAAGTCCTCCTCCAGTCCTACGGCTACCGTGGCCTCGAATTCTACGGTGTCGTCACCGAACTCAAGAAGGCCGCCGCCGACAAGAAGAGCGGTCTCAAGCGCGAAGGCGCCCAGAACCTCCTCGGTGCCATCTTCGAGAGGTTCCCTCCTCGCCAGCCCGCCAGCGAGACCCTCCTCACATCCACCGAAGCCGGCCTAGTCGCTTGCGCTCTCGACGCCCTTGCCGATAAGGGTGCCGTCGTCCGCGAGGCTGCCCAGTACGGTCTCGATGCCCTCTACAACAACCTGAGCCCCGAGGCTCTCGTCGTTGGCCTTCTGCCCACCCTCATTGCCTACCTCGAAAAACCCACCGGCAAGTGGCAGGGAACCATTGGCGCCTACCAGCTGGTCGAGAAGATCTCCATCAAGGCCCAAATCACAATCGGTACCACCAAGGAGCAGGCTGCCGAGCAGGATGTTCTCCGCGAGTCCATGGGCACCAAGCTCGCCCGCCTGATCCCCATTGTTGAGGGCGGCATGCTCGACATGAAGACCGAGGTCGCCAAGCAGGCTGTCAAGACTATGAACGCTCTTACCACCCTGCTCTCCAACGACGATGTCGCTCCTCGCATTCCCCTCCTTATCGAGACCATGCAGCACCCCTCGGCTGCCGCCGTCCAGAAGGCCATCCACGCCCTTTCCATGACCACCTTCGTGGCCATCGTCACCGCCCCTGTCTTGGCCCTCCTTACCCCCTTCTTGGAGCGCTCTCTCAGCAACCCCGGCACTCCCCAGGAGGTTCTCCGCCAGACTGTTGTTATTACCGAGAACTTGACCAAGCTCGTCCACGACCCCATCGAGGCTCGTACTTTCCTTCCCAAGCTCCAGCCCGGCATCAAGAGCGTTGTCGACCGCGCTTCTCTCCCCGAGGTCCGTGAGATCGCCACTCGCGCTCTCGCTGTCATGGACAAGGCCATGGGTACCGACCAGGACAAGGTTATCGAGCGCACACAGGCTGAGGACGTTGGCAAGGTACTGGACGCCGAGGTCAAGAAGGCTGGTGGCCTTTATTGGCGACCCCGTCGTCTACCAGGCTGTTCGCCAGTACGTTGGCGAGATGGTTGCCGAGGATGTCAACCACCGCCACTGCAACCGCATTGCTGCCAGAACCGGCCCTTATCTCAAATTCCTCGTCGCTGACCCTGTCGCTGTCGGTGAGGCCGTTCAGAAGCACTTCGTCGACGAGGATGCCATCAAGTATGGTGTTCCCGAGAAGGAGGACGACGGCGAGATTGAGATTGTCAACGCCGACTTCTCCCTTGCCTACGGTGGTATGCTTCTGCTCCAGCACACCAACCTCCGCCTGCTCAAGGGTCACCGTTACGGTCTCTGCGGTCGCAACGGTGCCGGCAAGTCTACCCTTATGAAGGCCATTGCTTCCGGCAAGCTCGAGGGTTTCCCTTCCCAGGATGTACTCCGTACCTGCTACGTTGAGCACAACCAGGGCGAGGATGCCGATATCACTATTCTTGACTTCATGGCCAAGGATCCTACAATTGCCTCGGAGGGTCGCGAACGCATTTCTGAAGTTCTTGCCGAGTTCGGTTTCACAGCTGGCCCCGAGGGTCGTCAGTCGCAAAAGGTCGGCTCGCTCTCTGGTGGTTGGAAGATGAAGCTCGCCTTGGCTCGCGCCATGCTTCAGAAGGCCGATGTCCTGTTGCTCGACGAACCTACTAACCATCTTGATGTTGCCAACATCAAGTGGCTCGAGGAGTACCTCAAGTCGCACACCGACATCACCTCCCTGATTGTTTCTCACGACTCCGGTTTCCTCGACAACGTCACCACCGATATCTACCACTACGAGCCCAACAAGAAGCTTGGCCATTACAAGGGCAACCTCGCTGCCTTCGTCAACGTCCGCCCCGAGGCCAAGGCCTACTATACCCTCTCTGCCTCCAACGTTCAGTTCAAGTTCCCTCCTCCGGGTATCTTGTCCGGCGTCAAGTCGGCGACTCGTGCCATTATCCGCATGACGGATGTCTCCTTCACCTACCCCAATGCCCCTAAGCCTTCGCTCAGCGGTGTCACCTGCCAGCTCACTCTCTCCTCCCGCGTGGCCATTATCGGCCCCAACGGTGCTGGCAAGTCTACCCTGATCAAGTTGCTTACTGGCGAGGTCATCCCCACCCAGGGCAAGGTCGAGAAGCACCCCAACCTTCGTATCGGTTACATCAAGCAGCACGCTCTTGAGCACGTTGAGATGCATCTCGAGAAGACCCCCAACCAGTACCTCCAGTGGCGTTACCAGCACGGTGATGATCGTGAGGTCCACATGAAGCAGACCCGCCAGTTGACGGATGCCGATAAGGAGCAGATGGACAAGTTTGTCGATATCGGTGACGGCAAGGGCAAGAGGCAGGTTGAGGCCCTGGTCGGTCGTCAAAAGTACAAGAAGACCTTCCAGTATGAAGTGTAAGTTCTCCCCTTTTTTCCTTGTCAACAAATGATCAACGGCTAACATGTATCAACAGCAAATGGCGCAACTTCCTCCCCAAGCACAACACCATGATCTCCCGCGAGACACTTCTCGAGCTCGGATTCCAGAAGTTGATCCAGGAGTTCGATGATCACGAGTCCTCGCGCGAGGGTCTCGGTTACCGTGAGCTTCAACCCGCTATCATCTCCAAGCATTTCGAGGACCTCGGTCTCGACCCTGAGATCGCCAACCACAACGAGATCGGCTCGCTCTCCGGTGGCCAGAAGGTCAAGGTTGTCATTGCCGGTGCCATGTGGAACAACCCCCACATGTTGGTTCTTGACGAGCCTACTAACTTCTTGGATCGTGACTCCCTCGGTGGTCTCGCTGTCGCCATCCGAGACTTCAAGGGTGGTGTCGTCATGATTTCCCATAACGAAGAGTTCGTCGGCGCTCTTGCCTCTGAGACCTGGAACGTCGTCGACGGCCGCGTCACCCACAAGGGTCAGAACTCTGCCGCTCTCGATCGCTTCGAGGACAGCAGCAAGCCTGCCTCCGCAGTCACCAGCGGCCTCAACACACCCATGGGTGCGAGCGAGCCTAGCACTGCCGTTAACTCTGGTGCCGAGGACAACGGCTCCCTGGGCATTACTGGCGACAGCATGGCTTTCAAGGCCAAGAAGAAGAAGAAGATGACCAAGAAGGAGATGAAGGAGCGTGAGGCTCGTAGGAGGTTGAGGCACATTGAGTGGCTCAACAGCCCTAAGGGAACGCCGCATCCCAAGGATACGGATGATGAGGATGAGGATTAAGTGCTTACCAAACAGGAGGAGGAGTTTTGCATACCCTAGCATGGATGGATGGAATATGGTGATTCTTGCGTTGCAGTTTTAGCGATATCCAAAGATGTGTAGAGAAGAAGACGATATGCGAAGGAAAGACAAAAGCGAAGAGACTATGGTTTAGAATTGGCCTTTCTCAGTGGGGCTGCAGCGATCGATGGGATTTTTCGGACTTTTTCAACGGGGCTCGAATAAGGGGAATCACAAGGGGGGATAGACTAGAAGGCGTTTTCGTTTTTGCTTTGCTTTACTTTTTGCGGACTGCTTGGGATTTTTTCTTGTTCCTTAAAAGTTTTAGATGGCATTTCTTTATAGATCATTTGGAATGAAGAAGCAGAAGAGCTAGATGATTGTACTCTGAACTCTCTCTTTCGTTTTGGTGATCATGCATGTTATGCGCTGGCTGCAAGTGATCCTGGAGGTGGGCCGGTAAGTAGTCAAGTTTCGCACGTGGAAGCTATCACCAAGTCTTGGCGTTACTTCAGTCGTCTGCAGTACACCTCTTCTACACATGATTACAGATTTTAGGTCGTAACCTTTGTCGTCGTCTCTTAGTAGTCTCTTAGTAAGGTTTTGTCGTCCAACTTTGGTCCACAAAACCGTGCCAATCATCCACCGGCATCATCCTTTTTCTCACCTTGCTCGCCATGCAATTCTGTTATCTTATCGGCTATGACATTCGCTACAGCCAGTCGCTAACAGGTTTCACAGTACTTCCGGGCGGAATGTGTTAGCGCATTGCATTGCACCCCCTGTCACACGGACATTCGCCGGTGACATTCATCAGTCAAACTGCCGACCGGAATTACCGACAGAATGCCATACGGACATTCGCCAGCGACTTTCATCAATTAAACCACCGACCGGAATTACCGACGGGCAACTGGACGAAGGCTGGCATTCAGAAGAACTAGATAGACTCGCGCCGATGCCTGGCACACAGGGCTCGGTACGTACCAACCTTCTTTGGTATAAGAAGGCCTTAAGGCCCGACCTTCTCATGGAGGTTGAAAGGATCAACAAGGCCTTCGAGACCAAAGTAGTTTACTAGCTGAATTGAACTACTGTTCCAAGCCCTGAATACAACCCTTGTCACACCCGCCCCTGTGAATAAACCACCACACAGCAGCCTGAGGTCCCACACGTCACTGTCACTTTCCTTCCGCGTTATAGTACGTAACCACACATCCTGCGTTCATTTGTGGGTGCATGAAGGCAAAGAGAGATCTGTCTCGCGTGTTGAGACAAGGTGGCAAACTGGTATCACTCGCGATCGGTAGTCGCATGGAACAGTAGCCCGATTCTCGGGGGACTTTCCCTTGCGTGCGAGATGGTTTCAAAGTTCAGGGTAATCTCAAGATGGTATCACGGTACGACCCTATTGGGATCCTCAAGTTAATAGCGTTGAAGACTCAGGGGAACAGAAGAAGACTATATAATGAGACATACGACACCGCATTTTTGCAAGTTCTTGGGGGTAGCAAGATTCGTTTCTCTTTAGCGGTGTAAAACTGCTTCAAACGACCCTTCCCCTCAGGAATGTACTTGCCGATAGGAACTCGTCATCCATGCATATCCACCTGTACAAATCCCACCAACGATCTGGACAACATTGTTTTGCTCGCAACGCTGGTCTTTCAAATTTTCCAAGCTAATGGGGCCTCTTTGCATCCCAAACAGATAACAGAGTCCGGCCACTGCCTGAGGAAAGGAATAGCAATAAAACCTTGGCGTCTCGATTCTCGAATCAACCTACAATATCCCATACCTATCATTCTTTTGAATGCCATCTTCGAAAGCCTCGCTCACCGGTCATCACCCACTACCCCAGTTTTCGATCCTCGCTGCCGGTAAGAAGAGATCTTGTGCCACCACGACCCACTTACGCTAAATGAACTGAAAAAACAACCTTGCAGCCCAATACCCCAGTCCAGCGACCCTTGCCGCGTCCAGTCTACAACAGACCGAAGTTTTTGAAGGATCATAACTTTTTCTCAGCGAGAGGGGAAGAAGAAGAAAAGCGCCATCATGCCGCCTTCGACCGGAACCTGCCAGGACCCCACAAAATGTGAGTTGTCGCCTGAGATATCCAACGCCTTGGAGCGGTTCTCGCTTCCTCACAACTGCAAGTTCGCACAAGCAAAGCGTCAGCTTGTCGATAAAGTACGTCTCAGCCCATCCTTTTATAATACTTGCGCTCGAAACCCAGCTCACACTCTGCCGCCTTCTTACATCAGATTGTCAGCGATATTATGAACGACAAGTCCTCAAGCATCACGACTGTCCTTCAGGATGAACTACGGAAATGGGAAAATGAGAACAGGGGAAAGAGATAGGGAACAAGATACCTGAAGATGGAGTGTCCTCTCGTTACTACGCTGGAAGCACCCGTCCGGCGTTGGACTGGTTGGAGTCATTGAACAAACAAGATTGGGCCGGCGGTCGGTGTCATGGGGCTGGCACCCAGGGGTGTCTGCTTGGCTTGAACCCTATATAAGCCAG